AATAGAGAGAAAAACAGGAATTCCAGAACATTTACTTATGTTCATATGAAATCTTTGCCTACACCAAGAAGCCACTGCTCAAACAGAACAAAGGAACACTGCATTGTTTAAGATCAAGAGAGGACTATGTCAGGACTGTATCCTTTCTTCATACCTATTCAACCTGTATGCTGAGCAAATCATTTGAAAAAAATGGAATTTTATGAAGAATGTGGCATCAGAATCAAAGGAAGACTCATTAGCAAACTGCATGATGCACATGACACAACCTTGCTTGCTGAAAGTGAAAAGGAATTGAAACACTTATTACAGAAGATGAAAGGCCACATCCTTCAATATTAATTACCTCTCAAAATTAAGAAGGGGGGCAGGGAATCCTCACCACTGGCAGATAAGCAACATCATGATAGGTGGAGAAAAGATTTAAATTGTCAGTGATCTTGCTGGGAGCCACAATCAATATCCTTGGCACCAGGAGTCAAGAAATCAAAAGATATGTTGCAATGGGGAAGTGTGCTGTTAATTACCTCTCCAAAGTACTGAGGAGTAATAATGCCAGTTTAAAGACAAACATGCACATGATTCAGGCCATGGTCTTTTCAATCACTTGCTATACATCTGAGAACTAGACAATGAATGAGGATGACAGAAGAAGAATCAATGTCTTTGAGTTGTGGTATAGAAAAAAAGTACTATCTCATGGACTGTCAAAAGAACAACAGGTATGTCTTGGAGAAAGTGCAGCCAGAGTTCTTCTTGGAGGCAAAGATGAGGAAGTTTCATCTCACATACTTTGAGCATGTTGTTGTTAGATGCCATCAACTATGACTCAAAATACCCTACAAACAACTAATCTGAATTCTGACCTATCCTGTTCCATCTTCACCATCTCTGAGACACTTTAGTTCACTGCAGCAGTACCAAGTTTAATCCATCTTGTTGTTGGTCTTCCTCTCTTTCACTAACCCTCCACCTATCCAAGCACAATATCCCTCTCCAAGGAATAGCCTCTCCTAGCAACAAGTCCAAACTATCAGAGATGAAGCTTTGCCACCCTTGCCTTAGACATTCTGTAGTTGCACTTCTCATTCCATTTTTGCATTGAAGTTGCCATCATTTATGGACTGATACCTCTGGTTCCCTAGTTTTAGTTTTGTATGTTTATTATGATGGAACTAATCCATAGGTAACCCTCCAGCAGATTTCCAGAAGCTGTCATTCATATGGGAAGAGATTGTCCATCTTTTTCCTGAGGAGCAGTTGAAGGATTTGAACCCCTTGCCTTTGAATTTGCAGTGCAAGTCCTTATCCAGCAGTTTACCAGAGTGCCCTGTGCTTATTATGTCATTTCATAATGTTGAGTCAGAACCAAGCCATAACTGACCCTCCAGCAGGTTTTCAGAGAGAATAAATTACACGGGAGATTATCGATCATTCTCCCACAGAGCAGCTGGTGGATTCAAACCACGTGCTTTATTGATTGCAGTGTAGTGTCTTACCACTAGGCCACCAGTGTGTATTTCTATGTGTAGGTAAGTTTTTGAACGATGTTGTCATGTATGTTAATTTTGGGTTGCCATTACTGTCTCTGTCCAAAGTACTCCCTTTAGTACTTCTTTTAAGATTGGTCTAGTTTTTCCAGATTTACCAAGTTTCTTTTTATCTGATAATGTGCTAATATCACCATCATATTTAAAGGTCAACTTTACTGAGTATAGAATTCTTGGTTGGCAATTGTTTTTTCTCTTTCAGAGTTTTATACGTGTCGTACTATTGTCAAAGGGAGGGAGACCTCCAACAAGATTGGTTGACACAGTGACTGTAACAATGGGTTCCAGCATATCAGAGATCAGGGACAGTGTGGATGGTGCACAGTAGTGCAAGGTTCAGGTCTGTTGTTGATAGGATGTCTGTGAGTCATGGTCAATTTGACTTCACTTAACAATAATAGCATTTTCCCCCCTGTGTGGTTTCTGCTGAGAAGAGTCTTGTTTTACTAGTTCTTTGTTGTTGTTGTTGTGTGCCGTCAAGTCGACTATAACTCATAGCGACTCTATGTATGACAGCACTGAACTCTGTTCTATCTTGAACCAACTTAATTGTTTCTGACACACCTACTCTCATTACCCCAGTCACCGAGTCAATATATCTCATCCAGGGTCTTCCTTTCTTGCACTGTTCCTCTACCCTTCCAAGCATGATGTTCCTCTCCAACTGTCCAAGGACTGGTCCCTCTTGGCAACATCCCCCAGTAGGAAGACAGAGCTTCAAAATCTTTGCCTCCAAGGAGCAGCCTTGTTTCACCTTCTCCAAGACAGAGCTGCTTGTTCTTTTAGCAGTCTGTGATATAGTCAACAATACTCTTCTCCAGCATCATTACTCAAAGGCATCCTTCTCTCTGATGCATAGCAAGAAATTGCAAAGACCATGGCCTAGATCAGGCACACCTTTGTCTCAAGACTGACATCATTGCTCTTCAGTATTATTTATGAAGTTGTTTTCAGTAGTGTCTTAAAAAACAAACAAACAAACCAAACTTATTTTATGATACTCTTGCTGTTTTTCTTTTATGGTCTATCCTGTTTGGTGTATGTTCAGCTTCTTGAAGGCATATTTTCTCAATTTTTTTCTAAATTTTGGAAAGCTTTCTCCATTTCCTTTTCTATTTTCTTTCCCCCTTTCTTCCTGTTCTGGAATTCCCATTCAAGTTATGCTTCTTGATATTGTACCATATAATTCTTATGCTTTCTTCCTTTTCCTTCCTTCATTTTTTATTGTTTCTCTAATATACTAATAAAGATTTGTCTTCCATCTAACTCTTGTTATGTGCCATTATGTCACCTGCAACTCATAGCAACCCTATGTACAACAGCTCTAAATCCTGTTCTATCTTGAGCCAACCTCATTGTCTCTGACATACATACCCCCATTACCCCAGTCACTGAGTCAATCCATCTAATTGAGGGTCTTCCTTTCTTGTGCTGTCCCTCCACCATTCCAAACATTAAGTACCTCTCCAAGGACTAGTCCCTCTTTGCAACATGCCCAAAATATGTGAGATGGAGCTTCAAAATTCTTGCCTCCAAGGAACAGCTTGGTTTCACCCTCTCTAGGGAAAATCTGTTTGTTCTCCAAGCAGTCCATAGTATATTCAATACTTTATTCCAGCATCACAACTCAAAGGCTTCAATTCTTCTACTAACATTCCTAGTCATTGTTCAGCTTTCTGATGCACAGCAAGTAATTCTGAAGACTATGGCCTGGATCAGGTGCACCTTAGTCTCCAGACTGACATCATTGCTCTTCAGTATTCTGGAGAGGTCCCCGAAAGCAGATTTTCCCAGTGCAAATAAGTCTTTTGATTTCTTGACTCCTAGTACAAGGAATGATTATGGACCCAAGAAAGCTGAAACTATTAAAAATCTTAATTTCTTCACCATCTATCATGATGCTGCCAATAGGTGAGAATCTTTGTTTTCTTGATGTTGAGCTTCAATCCATATTGAAGGCTGCATTCCTTGATCTTCTGCATCAAATGCCTCAGGTCCTCCTCAGTTTTGGCAAGCAAGGTTATGGCAGCTGCATAATACATGTTGTTGTTGAGTCTTCCTCCCATCCGAATGCCACATTCCTCCTCATAAAGCCCAGCCTCCTGGATGATCTGTGCTGTATGTAGATTAAAAATGTATGGAGATAGGATGTGTCCCTGGCACATCTGATTTTGAACAATGCAGGTTTCCTTGCTCTGTTCTGCCAACTGCCTCCTGGTCCAAGTATAGATTTCACATAAGCACAATCAAATGTCCTAGGATTTCCTTTCTTCTCTGAGTCAGCCAGTTTGTTGTGATCCAGAGAGTCAAACAAATGCCTTTGCAGTCAATGAAACACAGATAGACATTCCTTTGGTACTCTCCGCTTTCAGCCAAGATCCATCTCTCATTGGCTATAATGTCCCTAGTGCTACTGGCCTCTTCAAAACCCAGCCTGGACATCTAGCACTGTTGATGTGCTGTTCCAGTCATTTTTACATCTGTATTTAATAGTTCCCACTCTATTCTTTGGTTCTTTCAATTAGCTGGTTTTGTGGCTTCTAATTTCCCCTTTACTTGATCTTTATGGTTTTACATTGGTGTTGGTTTGGTTGTGTGTGTGTGTGTTTTTTTTAAATTCTTCTAGATTTTGGGGGGTTTTTCATTTTCTGTGGTTTCCTAGAGCTTTTTTTCAATCAGATGGATTCTTTTTTTGGGGGGGTGGGATAAGAGACAGGTCTTTTTAACTCAGCACAATTATTTTGGTTTTAATCTATACTGTTGCTATATCAAGAATTTATTCCTCCGTATTTAATTGTGTAGACGTAGCATAGTTGGTCTTGAATCTATTCATGATTTCCTAGTATTTGTCTTTTATTATGATTATTGTTTAAAGATCTGGAAAGCTCTGACAGTCTGGCAGGCGGTCTTTGTCCAGGTTTCCCAGCACTCTGTCTTCTCCCCATCCATGAAGAGCATGTTATCCATGTTCCCACTTACAAGTGCAGGAACTGAGGCACTGTGAGAGTAAAAAGCCAACCACGTTCACGTTACAGGTGACTGAAGTTGACAGGAACCTATCACCAAAGAAAGGACAGGAAGGCTCCACATGGAATGTTGAGTGACATAATGAGTGGCTCGTATTTTTCGAAACTTTCTGGTGTAATTTGGCTTGTCAGAAGTAAACATATATCCTAAGGGGGTAAAAAAAGAAGTAAACAAATATCCTCTCACGTTCATAATGTTAGAGAGAAAAAATAAAAATCCCATCCAAGTAGTGAAATCCTTCGCGCTTGCCCGCCCCGCACCCATTCCTTCCGGAACAGTCCCGCGCTCCGCACAGCTCCGCCCACGGCCACCGGACCGGAAGTCACGATGCGGTGCCGGAAGTGGGGTTGGGCGAGCAGTGACTCCTTCCGACACGACAGCTGGACGTTTGGCGGTTGAGGCAGCGGCCCTTAGGAACCGGCCTCCCGATGGAGGTGGCGCCGGAGCCCGGGCCGGGGCTCTGCTGCAAGCCAGGCGGGCGACTGGACATGAATCACGGCTTCGTCCACCACATCCGACAGAACCAGCTCGCTCGGTACCGCCCCGCCCCGCGCCTTCGCCATCCCCCGGCCCGCCTGCCCGCCCGGCCGCCCCTGACTCCCGCCCGGCTCCCCGCAGGGACGACTACGACCGGAAGGTGAAGCAGGCGGCCAAGGAGAAGGCGAGGAGGCGGCTCACGCCCGCGCCCACGCGGCCCCGCAGGCCCGATCTGCAGGTGTACCTGCCGCGACGCCGAGGTGAGCCGCCGCTCCGACCCTGCCGGCGGCTTCCAGGCCGCCCCTGCGCCCCGCCCGGGACTTCCGCTTCCGCGCCGGCCCCCACCGGTCACGCGGCCCCGGGTGCCCCGGGCTGGGCCCGGGAAGCCTGGCACCGCCGTCCACGGCCAAGGCGCGACTGGGGAGGGGAGCGCACACCCAGGCAGTCCCTCCCACTCGGCCGTGCTTCCCGGCCACCTGGACACCGCAGGAGCTAATGACACCACGTTTGTCAGGCATCATTTCCAATGTGTTCACCTTCTCAAGTGCTCTGATTTAGCCCTCTTTAGTCCCCAGTATACCTTTCGGGGATCTGGATGGAAGCTGAGGCATAAGGACCTTAAGATCCCAGAATTACTAAACACAGGCGCCTTCACTTTAGCCCAGGCCGTGGCTCCGAGACCAGTGCTAGCCAGTCCGTTACCGTCCAGTCATATTTTCTAGGCAGGCATGCACAGTAATCACCTGCTGTGTGGCAGAACTGTGCTGGGCTGTCTGCAGGGGTGGATCACTTACTCATTTGGGATCGTATCGGAACCGACTCATAGCTATCCTCTGGTTAGTTTTCAGAGGTGGTAGATTGTTCATCTTTCCTCTGTAGAACAGCTGGTGGATTCGAATCACCTGCCTTTGGGTTGGCAGGGCAACCCCCTACCCACCAAGCCACCAGAGCCCCCTCCCAACAAAGACAGAAAGGTCAGTAAGACTGGATTAGCAGCACACTGTGCACACAAATGCTGCTGGGTCCATGCAAAGTATTTTTCTGTGTCATCTGCACTAGTGCTCCCACAGCTCCCCCTCCTCCCTCTCACTGTGGTTCATCCTTCCAGATGCTTCTGCCCACCCCAGCAACCCAGACTATGAGGAGTCTGGTGAAAGCAGCAGCAGTGGTGGCTCTGAGCTGGAGCCTTCTGGTCATAAGCTCTTCTGCTTAGAATATGAGGCGGACAGCGGCGAGATCACATCTGTTATCGTGTATCAGGTACGCCTCCTGGAAACAGCTGTAGCGGGAGGTCCCTCAGGGTGGGATTACAGGGCAGTGCTATACAGCAGCTCACCCCCCACCAGTTATTCTCAGAGGGCTGCCAGGGAAGCCCATGTCCCCAGCCCATGTCACTGTTCTAGGTCAAACCTGGGCAATGGCGGGAGCTGGCAAGAAGTGCTGAGTGGGCTTCTGTGAGCATGTTGTCTGGGGCAAGGCCCTGAGCATCCTGACTCTTCCACTACCTAGGACGATGACCCAGGAAGGGTGAGTGAGAAGGTGTCAGCACACACGCCTCTGGATCCGCTCATGCGAGAGGCCCTCAAGCTGCGTGTCCAGGAGGAGATGGCAAAGCGACAGAACCGCCACTGACTGGGCCGAGCACAGTCTCCCCAGGCAGGCTTTCCTACATCAAGAATTCTGCCCTGGGAGCTCATACCTGTTCTGAGGGTGCTGGGACCACCTATAGACCTGGAGAACCACCGCTCAAGCTGCTGCATCTGTAGGAGGAGGATGTTGAGAAACTGCCTCTCTTGTAGCCATTCTTTTCCATTTGATGGCCTGATAATATGGAATTTTTTGAGACTTTTCTTCACTTAGCTTGCTGTTCTGGAAGCAGAGACTCTAGGAAGAGCTAGGGTTTGGGAAGCCTTATTCTGTCATGTTGCCACCCACTGAGGTCATGCCGTTCCACTTTACCCCATAACCACATTTATGATCTTAAGGATTTTTCTTCTTTTGCGTTTCTGCTCACTTCCACCCAGTTCCATGTCTTCCTAGATATGTTTTTGTTTTTCAGCTCGGTTTGTTTGTTGTTTTGGGGTTTTTTCCCCTCCCATCTTTTTTGCCCCTCAGGCAAAAAGTCAGCTTCCTCCCATGCTCCCCCTCCTCTGGACACTGTGCCATCTGAGCCTCAGTGAAGGTGTAGGCAGTGCTCTGTGAACCTCCAGCTGCCCCAGACTTCAGAGGTGGGTCTCTGGAGGGTCTAATTTTCTGAAAAATGCGGGTAATTCTGTTACTGATAATGTAGGATAGCCTTTATTTTGGGGACATCTTTTGAAGCATGTCTTCCTCCTTTCATAGCTTTGTAAGTTCCCTGCAGTCCGCATTGCCAGGTACTGTCTGTTAGGAAGCCTAGGAGGAACAACTAAACTATAAACTACAGTGGTTTCTTGTGGCAGGACCTTAGTCAGGGCTGTGCAATACTTCAGGCTGGCATTTTACTTGATTCCTAGCTGTCGCTTTTATGCTCAGACTAAAATCATCAAAAACAGCTTGAAACCTATTCTCCAAGGGTGACTTAACAATCTTGAACAAACATACAAAGGAGATTTTGACATGAGCAAAAAGTCCTGACCAATGCTGACAAGGAAGCAAAGCTGAGCCTTTTTTCTGACCCCCTCCTGTGCCAAGCTTTCTCATTTCCTAACTTCCAAGGGTATATAAACTGCAGTCTTTGTAATAAATCCTCAAGAATGGCAGTGATTTTACCTGGTGGACATACTTCTCAATGCTGGGTTAAGCCAGCATCAGAGAAGTCCACAAGGCATCGTGCACATGGGATGTCCTTCAGCTGTCCAGGAAATTGGCCTCCCCTCAGTGGCTGGAAATGCTGGCTTGAATGAGCACAAAGACTTCTAAACCCAAAGTTGCTCTGCTCCAGGGATCCTGCACATCAGGCTGAGTTCAGTCTGGCGATTGGCTATTCTATCTCTGCAGCTTTCTCTGAAGGGACACCTGAGAGTACTATTGGTTTGTCCCCTGCACCTCTGAATGTCTTACCAGCTCAGAAATTAGTCAAGGCAGCTACTGAACTCCTCTCTTAGAACACAAGCCATGGCTTGAAGTGCCAAAAGAATGCCAGAAAGGTGAGAGAGATGATTAAGGTTAGAAGGACCTGGTTGTAAAGGTGACCAGGGCCAGATGTACTTAACTCACAGAACAAGCCCAAGGTTAAGTAAATGCCTTAAATTTGCCAACATTGCACTCCAATCTGCTTTCAAAGAAGAAAATCTTTGCCCTCTTTTTCACCTAGACTGGAAGTGCCTTTTGACTTGTATTAACTACCCTCCAGTCTTATAGGTCAAGGAAGCTTGCCAGACTCACCCCTGTTCCTCTTGTAGGTCAAAGGGCCAGTAAATTTAAGTCTTCCAACCTGCAACTGATTGAATTCCAAGGGATTGCACTGGAACTCTTGGAAATACTTTCATGTCTGTCTGCTGTGTCCTGGCTTTATTACAGAACTTGGAAACAAAACCAGAAGAGTTAAGGTTTAAGTTACATGAAACATTGTTTAACAAAGAGCATGTCATGTGAAATTTAAGCTATTCCTATCTTGTGAGGAAGGAGAACATAAAAGGGAGGAAAATGTGCCTGTTCTGTTCTGTATTTTATATGTGATCCTCAAAGACCTCAGGCTGAGGCTGTTGGGAACGCCTTGCTTGTGAAGCATTATCGTTTCTAGCTAACGAATTCCATGTGGCTGTGTACAGGATTAGGTCTGGTACTTGAAGGAGACTTTGTCCTTCTGAGCTGACCTGCTGCACTGTGATGATGCCATTGTCTCAGACATGTCTGAAATGCTGCTCTGAGATGCCTGCAGAGCTTACTGATGGTCTTTGAATTCACTAGATTGCTGATAACCCTCATCTGGGGTCCATGAAGCTCTTGGTGATGCAGCAGTTAAGCACTTGGCTTCTAACAGAAAAGATTGGCAGGTCAGACCTCTCTAGTGACTGGGAGAGAAACCTAGTGGCCTGGCCCATAAAGATTACAGCCTAGAAAATCCTGTTAGGGCAGGTCTGCTCTGTTGCAGGGTCACAGCCTAAATCAATGTGGAAGCGCCTAATAACAGCATCAGGGGTCCTCTTAGTACTACCTGGATGTCTTACCAGAAGTAGCTTCAGACATGTCTCAGCCATTTTCAGAAATCCACCAAGAGACATGTTCCAGACTGCACATGCTGTGTGGGGGGTAGCAGTGGGACTGACAGAGCTGAGAGGTTGCTTCCAAATCATTATAGTTATTTAAGCAGTTGAGACCCTAGCAGGCATACATCATGCCCACCCAAAGTATAAGAATTCCTTTTTTTTTACTGAGAATAATATATCCATTTTAAGCTTTAGTATTTCTTGAGCTGCAGTGGATGATGTTACAGATAGATACAAATGTATGTAGGGGATTGGTGCTATCCACAGGTAAACAGCGAAACTTGCGGTCCAGCCAGGTGGCAAGCACAAAGCCTGTGAAGAATGGAATGCGAGAAAGGAAAAAAAGTAATGCAGAGCTTTGTGTACTGGGCAAGAGTAGGATCCCCTGGAGCCCAACCAGGAGCGTAGCCATATGAGCAGTAACAGATGCTTTGCCTGTGGAAAACCCTCCTTGAAAGGGGCATCCCACCTCCAGGATCCAGTCTGAGGGATACTGCCAACCGGAGGGCAGCCCTTGGTGTGGATCCTGGCTGCTGTGTGCTCAGGGGGCAGGGCATGTCCCTGCTAGTTCACAAGTTTATGTGAGGGCTTGACTGGCACAAAGACCCCAGGGATCAGTCTCAGACCACTGCAATATAGCAAGCTAAAGATTTTCTGGTTTCACAGTGTATATAAAAGTTTGCAATAACATGAACAAATTTAAAATATTGTAAGAATTGCCACCAAGATGTGATACAGATCCAAGCAAGCACATGCTGTTGTGAAAATGGCACCAATAGACTAGCCTAGCACAGGGTAACTGGAAACCTCACCCTGCGAAAACACGCAAAGCACGGTTAACAGGGTATGCCAGTACTTCCCTACCTCAGACTTCACAGTAGAAACACCACAGAATCTTGTTAAATTTAAATTATTTTTAAGTTCTTTCTTTGAATTTGTGTCTTGTCCATGAGAAATCAGTTAGCCCAGAGGCCACAGGTACCCACCCTCAATCCCCCCAACAGATGAAGTGTTCCTAGAAAAGTACTAGAGTCCGAGTGAATACCTCTTCAGACCCATAGTGAGAGACTGGTTGTGTTAAGTGTCTAAAAAGCCATACGCTTGTCTGGTTTCTTGTTTTGAATGTTTTTTTCTGTGTGGATGAATAAGATGTATGCAAATTTTTAAAATATCCTAGCAGAAAGGTACTTTTCAAATACAGTATTTTTATTTTTAACCAATAAAATTACTATTTTTACAGCACTGTTTTTCTGAGTTGTAAAATCACCGTGTACATAAGGTGAATGTAGAAATACCTGCCCCGAAGTCACTCACACCACCGCAGAACTCAGGGCTGGAAGATTTGCTTTACCTATTTTAGGACCTATCCTAGCTGAAGTAAAACAACACAGGTAGCAATAGAATCGGAAGGGACTTTTACAAGGCTCTGGCCGAGGATTCACAGCACCACTGGTCAGGTTGGGGGAAAGATGCCTGTTCCAGGGGCGAGAAGATGGTGCCTGTAGGTAAATCAGGCAGTGCCCCACCATGTCCCAGGGCATAGAGTATGGCCAGCAGGAGGTGAGCACCGCCCACTCACCCATGCACCAGGTGTTCTGTTCAGTAGTCACCCTGCACAGCTCTACTTCTCAGGCTGCAGTATTTACTTCCCCTGTATGTGATCTGATCTGTAAAAAGGCACTCTGCTGTTTGCTGTCCATACCCTATTCCTTCACAGTGCATGGCCGTGACCTTTGCCACCTCATTGTTGCCCAACTCCAACTTCTGGTGTCTAGCAGACTGGACCCATGTGCTTAGGTGTGCCCCAGTGCCTGGCTGAACAGTAGCATTCTGCTAGTCCACAGACTTCCTAAGATGTTTCACTGACAGAAGGAAATAGGGATTCCTGCCCTTTGAAATCAAGAACTCGTTTACCCAATAAGTTTTAGTGGAATTGGCAAATAAACTTCACATTATTTTCAGCTTAAATAATGATAGTGGCACAGTGGGTTGGGCTGGTAACCAAAAGTCAGTGGTTCAAACCCTTCAGCTTCTCTGAGGGGGAAATGTCAGGATGGACCAATCTTAGGAAAAAGCCATCATTCCGAGAAAGGTGTAGGACTGAGAGGAAAAGCCTCGAGGAGACGGACTGACAAGTGACTGTCACATGGGCCTGAGCATGTCCAGAGTGTGAGGATGAGGCAAGCTAGGGCAGGGTTCAGGTCTGCTCGAGTTGTAGTCCACTCGACAGGACTTAACAATAGCAGTAAAGATTTATAGCCACTGTCTGGGAAACTCCGTGCAGATTTATAGCCACTGTCTGGGAAACTCCGTGCAGCTCCATCCAGTGAGACTTGCAATCAACAGGAAGACAGTGGGTTTTCTCTGCTTGTATCAGTCCTTTCCTGACCTACCCTGCACTTGGCAATACCTTTAAAACGACCATCCCTTAACCTGGGACTCGTTTCCAGTCAGTGGCCAGCACCAGGAGCCATGCCTTGGACATATGCCTTGGGGACAGTACACTTTGTACTTGCCTAACTTGAAAGTAAGTACCTGATGAAAGCAGCGCTCTCCCAGCATCTGCTGAGCGGCAGGAAGAAGCTGACGCCAAGACCCCGGGAATGGGGACAGTTCTGCCCCCTCTCTGCGGACCCCTCGTGCCAAAGGACTGGACAGGCACCCACGTCTGCCTGCGGGCGCGTCCCGAGGTCTGCGTGGCCGGCAGAGCTGTACCGTGTGCACTACGGCGGAGGGGCCTCGACGGGCACGCGCGCTATGACCGTCAAGGTGGACTGGAGGCCGGCCGGTCCAAGGGGACCCCCGTCTCGCCGAACCCGCCGCCCGGGCCAGGTGAGCCGGCGTTTCCTTCACGATCGGTCCCGGAGCCCAAGTCCCCAAGTCGGGCACCGCCCAGCCTCGCCGTGACGCGGCGCGGGGCGCTGGGAGTTGTAGTTCGGGGCCGGGCGATG